CAAACACCTGAAGCCTTTTCATGTCTTCCACTTTCAATGGCCATGTTTCACAGCCATACAGTAGAACAGAGCGGACTGCTGTGCAGTACACGCGACCCTTAATAGACAAACGCCATAGGTGGCGCAAATTGGCAAAAGCCAATCGAGCCTTTTGTATCCGTGCAGAAATCTCATCGGCAACTAACCCACCGGGTTGATCCTACTTCCCAGGTAAGTGAAGTGGTCAACACACTCAACCACTTCACTCTCTATTGTTAACCGCGGTACCGCTGAAGACCAGTCCTGGAGCAAAAATTTGCATTTGGGTGGTGAAAATCGCATCCCAAACATTCTCAAATTCCCACTCAAAGTGTTCAGAAGACTCTGCATCTTGTCAGCGTCTTCACCTAACAGGACTATGTCATCTGCATATTCTAGATCTAAGGAAAATTCACCTGTGATTCGGTCAACGTCTTTGTAATTAGGTGACGAGAGGGAAACCTCCATAAGAATATCTATGATAAAATTAAATAAGAATGGGGATAGTGGGCATCCTTGACGGACACCACTTGATGAGTATAGCTCCCTGGACAACTCACCATAGGCTCTAACATGCCCACAAGTGTTCGAGTAGAGAGCTTTCAATAAGGTGATGTACTTACTAGGCACGCCTTTCAGTGACAGACACTGCCATAAGACTTCTCGATCAACGGAGTCAAATGCCGCCTTCAGGTCGAGAAATACAGCTATTGTCGGGCGTCTGTAAGCATGCCTATGTTCCAGGACCTGGCGCAGTGTGAATATTTGGTCGATACATCCACGGCCAGGTCTAAAGCCTGCCTGGTTTTCTCGGGCTTGCTGTTCCCGAGCTCCACTCAGGCGTCGGAGAATTATAGAACTTAGGATCTTAGACACTATGTTTGTCAGGCTGATTCCTCTGTGGTTATCACAAGAGGACTTCTCGCCTTTCTTGAAGACTGGGATGATCAGTGACTTAGACCAGTCGGAGGGGATCGTATTTGATTCCCATATACTGGCTAACACTTCCGTTAGCCTGACTAAGAGAACTCTACCACCATTCTTGTATACCTCAGCAGGTAGTCCGTCTGGTCCTGCTGCCCTTCCCGTTTCAGGCTACCTACCGCTTTCTCAACTTCTTCTAGTGTTGGGGGACCTGTCTCTATGTCCCATTCAGGGTCCGACTGGATAGCGGGCAGCGCAATGGTGGCTGGAGGCCAGTTAAACTGTTCCTCAAAGTGTTCTGCCCATCGTCCCAGTCGCCTTCCCTGCGAGTGAATCGCAGATCCGTCCTTCTCCGCTATAACCTCACTAACTGTTGTTGACCATTTCCCCCCAGTCTCCTTAATAAGTCTAAATAACTGTCTACTGTTACCGATCGCCGCTGCCTTTTCCATCTCTTTAGCCTTTGCTGCCCACCACTGTTCACGATCGTTGCGCAGACTTTTCGTCAGTTATTTTTAAGTTGCGCTCGCTCTTCATTGTACTCAGAGCCTGCAGGGATGCATTCACGTGCATCCATTAGTTTGGAAGAAGCTGCTGATATCCACTGGCTCTTTTTAGCCATTATCTTGGAGTCGGCTACAGTCTCCAGTGCTGCTTTTACAGTAGACTGAAGATGGCACCAAGCTTCTTCTGGATGAGTGACAGTCTTTTGTTCCGATAACTGCCTAGCCAACTTCTCACTGAACACGGCTTTGGTGTTTTCGTTGTCCAGCAGAACTCGTAGTGGTTTTGTTGCCAAATTTTTTCTACGTCCATTGAGACGCAGGCATATACGTGCTCGGACCAACGCATGATCGCTGTCCAAACACGTACTCCAGAAGGAGCGGCAGTCTTCCACCGATCCTCTCCAGCGATGACTAATAGCAATGTGGTCTATCTGTGTCCATCGCTGAGTCGAGCTCGGTGGACGCCAGGTCAGACAGTGCCTTTCTTTATGTCTGAAATTTGTGCTGGCTAAAAATAGGCGGTTATCTGAGCATAGTTGTAATAGGCGATCACCGTTATCTGTACGTTCAGCTGGGATTCCGAAAGTGCCACCTAAGTGCCTTTCTGCCTCACTCAGTCTACCCACCTGTGCGTTGAGGTCACCTGCAACAACCACTACGTCCGAACGTTTGGCTTTCGAGAGGAGGTTAGACAGTTTATGGTAGAACTCGTCCTTCACTTCATCCGAACTACAGTCAGTGGGTGCGTAAGCAGAGATTACAAAGAGACAACGGCGAGTCTCACTATTCCTTTTAGTTCTCACTGTGCCGTTCAGCCTCATAGCGCAGAGGCGACTATCAACTGGGATCCAGTCTAGTAGTGAGTTTTCTGCCCTGGTGCTTAATGCTATACCTACACCTGCAAGACCACGAGAGCTAGCTATCGAATCTCCAGAAACTCGAAGGGTGAATTTTGCAGATTCACCAGATTGGTCAGGAGAGGTCAGGTGAATAACCACACTTGGGTCCTGTATGCGTGTCTCACAAACACAGCACACATCCATGCCCGAGTTGCTAGAGTCTTTGCCAACGAAGCCTGTTGGCCAATTTGACGGAGGGTGCGGACATTGAAGGCTCCAATATGTAATTTGGAGCGTGGTTTAAGGAGACCAGGGATGCTGTTCTGTGGACTCAGATCGTTGTCGAAGGCTGCAGAGGTAGGAGAAATTGAAGATGATGCAGCATCATTAATTAAGAGACGTGAAGGAAGATTAGAAGGTAATGATGGAGGAGGAGGATAGCAGTCAGAAGAAACTTGGGTGCTGACAGAGTTGTGAGGGCGGTTGACACTTCCCGGCTGCCCACACCGTGGAAGGCTATTTCTTCTTAAGGTACCTGAAAGAGATTTGTGTGACCGCAGAGCCCATCGGACATCTGCTTGAGGCCTGTCACACCCAGCCTTTTGAGTATGATTATTTTGAATTTTGTATTTTTGGGGCCGGATGATCGAAAGGAAACGACAAGTGAACCAACACCGCCGGCCCGGCAGACCGTGGGTCGTGGAGTGTGTTATTTTTGGGGCCGACCTTTTCTAACCCCCCCTTCCACTGAGAAGGCAGCATCAGCATGGCACTGCTGGTCATCCAAGGGAAACACCTTACTGCTGTCACACCCCATCCAGCTAGCAGCAGTACGACTTCGCCCTCAGACCCCCATCATAGTGTAGCAATTTACACTATAACGGTAACTGCTTTTCGTCTAACCACTACCCAACAGACCTTTCTGGTATGGTAGGACCTCGAGGGAACAAGCGTTCCACCAGCATAGCTCGTTGGGTCATTGTGATATGCAAGCCCGACCACCACGTCAAGGTAGCAGCTATCGGTCGGGTGATGTGAGTGACGCAAATGAGCTTTTGGTAATTGGATCTATTGTTTCTGTCTTGGTGCCACGTTGTGACTAAATCTCAATGTTTTCCCTTGAAGGACTTACGGCATCGACAAGACGTGAAGGGTCTGTAGTGACTCGGCGTTTATTGGCAAGACATCCTTCTGCGCTATTTTTACTCTCCATACACATGGTATTTCTTAACTGCAACGGACGCTTATCTACATTTTTTTTGAGGAATGATATCTACTTTCGAATTTAGATCAATTTAATACTTAGGTGCAATACTAGATGCAATCAATTTTCCCTACTTCGTACTTGGATTGACGATACAGTTGACCATCATAGCGAAAGTTGAGTTAGTGTTCTCCGAAGCACGGTCAGAATCTACATATGTATTGTAGAATAGGTAGGGTCTTTCTTTTACCCACACTAGCAGTCGCTGATATGTAATATGAACAAAAGTAGGGTTACATTGAAAAGAGCTTAAGACGTCAATATATCAAATGTATGAGTAGTGGTGTGAACTGAGTAAGAAGTTGCGGCAAACGAAATCGTTGACTAGAGATTCTATGTGATGTGACTTAGGATCGATCGTAGTCGTGCAAATATATCCAAACTTTACATTCATCGTAACCGTTATACCACTTTTCATCATTTACTTTAACCCGTTATTACTTTTGGCGTTTTTGAAGCGTTTCACTACGTGCTATTTTTATTTCATCATTTTTTATTTTGTTGCTTTGTATCCTGATTTACTGATATGATTTGTGGCGACTTGGACCATTTCGCAGTTATACGAGTTCTCATATTACTTATAATAAGTTCAGATTTAAATGCCAGCAGAAGGATGATGCAAGGTGTAGCTAATTAAAAGTGATATTATTAGAGATTGGTGGTGACTTTAAATAGGTTATGATCTGTGCAAACATCCAAAAACAATTCTTATTGTCAAAATTACACTTAAGTAATCTCCGTTGACCACCTAAATAATTCTTTAAGCCTGAAAATTCAACCTTGGCTTTAAAATCCCCAGCTAGCACTAAGATACCTGTCTAGTGCAGTTGATTCAGTTAGTTTCGTTAAAAGCAGAATTTTAGTAACGACTAACTCTTCGTACAAAATGTTTCTCATCATTTTTTTATTTAAAACAATCATAAACTAACCATTTCATCAGTTAAAGCTAAGGAGAATAGTATAGTACTGATGCTGACCGCTTGGTTACCTTCAAGAACCACTCTAGGTTATGGTGAAATTCACTTGGATCTCAACTAATTAGTGTGCCACGCTTCCACTGCACACTGAACCAAAGCTTTTCGGGATTGTCTCCCCAGAATCAGAAGGTATCAAAGAGTTCTCTGCTCTTCCCTTTTCTATATTGTACATTTTAACGATGATAACAGTACTTTCCATGCGTCAAATAAGCAAGCACTTATTCTTTTCTAATCGGTAGCAAAGCAAGTGTAAAATGTGTGGATCTGAAAGTCTTGATACTGAATTCTGTAACAAATATACTTATTTAACTTTAATGAATGTGTTAAAAACAATTCCATGCTAATTCCTTCGAATTAATCAGAAAAATATAGTCTTAGACTTTTTGTTTGTTTGTGTTGTGTTATTACAGTCTTTAAAAGGATTAGTTATACTGAAATTCACTTCATCACTTTGTCTTTTCTTCTTCTCCAGTTTTCGTAGTTTCATTTCGACAAATGCATCATTTAGACTGTTGTTTTTACACAGTATTTATAACTGTCATCGGGCTTTTCCTCTGTGTGGTTTCTGAAGAGTTGTCTGTTGAGCCTATTGCTCAAGCGTTACGTGTCGGTGAATCCGGGGTTTTCGAGTGTTCTTTGGAGAATTCAACTCATACCGAATACTTACAATGGACACTTCCTGATAATACAGTTTTGTTAAATGGTAACCAGTCAGTGGATGGTCGATTTGCCAATGAAAATGGTATTCTTAAAATGAACAATCTTACTTTACATGATTCTGGTGAATTCCTTTGTGAAGATCCTCAAACCAGTAACAACGTAACAGGTCATCTCAAGGTTTATATTATGCCATCATATATACTCGAAGGATCTGTTGTAATTGCTATTAATGGTGTCCTCTTGATTTTATTCATCTACTCAATCATAAAGACTTACCGAGAGCAAAATCGCAAGGATCGTATGCATGCCTTTTAAATGCTATTCGATGATATATACAGATAGATTTCTATCAGTTCATTCTGCAAAATAATCTAATTCCCCTTTATTGATGTCTGTGTAGTGTTGGAGCGAAATAATTTGTAATTCTAGTGCTAAAGGACTACCATAGTTTAAACATCGTTCTTCCTTACTTATGAACTGCACCCTACTGTAGAAAACTAATAATTTGATAAGGTTCATTGCACAGTTATTTTGCTTATCTATTTCTTTGTTGTCTTCATACAGAACCTGCTCATCTTTGTGATTTAATTAATGAAGTAATGTATCATAACATGTGTGTGTGCGAACAAAACTATAATGCTCCTTTATTTTGTAAACTGAATTTTCCACCAATTTTCTGTGTATACGCACACAACTCCAGTAATAGTCTTTCATTAAAACTAGCAATTTTGCAATCGGTTCATTTATTTTGCTTTCTTAACTTTCGTGATTTCATTTGTGTACGTGCTTATGTGTGTATGTTTGCAAATCGATAACCAGACGAATAACTTTCATATTATACTTGAATTATTTAAATCGTTAGTTTTTGTTTGATTGCCATAAACATGCCAAAAAATAAGAGTTAAATTCACCGTGATCGTACGTGTTATTTACACTGAAAAACAGGAAACATATGTTCACTATGCTCTTTGAGGGAGTTTTATGACATAATAGTCCAGCGCATACACTTGAACTGGTTCACAACAGATAAACGATATTCTCAGAACTTAGTACAAAAGTGCATTACTTCAAAGTCGAAGGACTTCACTACTTATTTGTTAGAACGCAAACTTGGTACAGCAAGGGCACCAAGAAATACGCCAAGCAAAACAATATAACATTCTGAAGACATAGAGCGAAGGGAAGTGGATAAATAAGAAGGAAAACACAATAAAGACAGAATGAATAGAAAGGCAGTCCAATAAAATACATTCAAAACAGAACGTTCAATAATTCTCAGCAGCAGAAAATGGAAGAAAGTTACAGGTTGACCACCACTGGCTTCAGTTTTGAGCCATATTTGATAACATCTCAAGTCACTTAGTTGCGTAATCTCTCGGACTGCACCCAGAGAGTCGCTATCCACCATTAGATGCTAGCCCGATACAGGTATTCTTCATCGTACGGCACCACGTCATGCACTGAGCACTCCTCCACTTTTCCCATCTAGTCCCATGGCTAGCCCAAATTAACGATATGGAAACCGTTGGGACGACATGCGCAACAGATAACCAATCCACCGAAGCCGGTGTTTTCAGATGACGTCACTCATTGAATAACAATTTCCATCATGCCTAAACACTCTTTATCGTACCTCAGAGTTACTGACATGGTGTTGTCACCGGGATACGAGCAATCCTACGGAGAAAACGATAATCGAACACATAGAGTCGTCGCATATCCTCAGCTCGAAGAGGCCAGGTTTCGTAGGCGTAGAGCAGAGGGAGGATGCCAAGTAGCACAATTGCTGTACTAGAATTTGGTGCTGACTAGGAGTAGGTTGTGATCTGCGCAACGCTGCACAAGACGATCCCCATTATTCGACCCGTGGTCAACTAGTCCCTATTGGCCACCTAAACGACTCTCCTCTGAGCCTAGACGCCCGAACTACGCATCCAAGTTCCCAGGTAATACTACGATATCTGTCGAGCGAACTTAGTTGAGAGGGTCACTCATTTGATGAAAGGATTTGCCCTTGGTTAAATCTAGGTTGTGATCCGTTGGAGCTTAGGTAGAGATGACAAGGAGACATCGTTTGTCTTCCCAGTTACTTCTAACTTGAGATAAACTTTCTAGCCTAACAACACACAGACAACTGTTGATGGGGATCCAGTCAAGTAGTGGAGCTTCGTCTCTAGCGTTTATTACGACACTGACACCAGCAATACCGGTTGTAGATGCCACAGGGTCCCTGGTTAAGTGCATATGGAACAATTTTCTGGCTGACAAATGGGGAGCTTATTCGAAGCATTTCACTGCGATCTTGTATATGGTTTTCTGAGATGCAGCATAAGTGAATAGCGAGGCTTTCCAGAGTTCTAGCCAACCTTCCTGTTGTCCGATCTTCATCAAGGTGCGAACGTTGAAGGTGGCGAGCTTAACCGATACTCGTTGTTTCAAGAAAGCTGTCAGATATCTCACTAAAGGACTGCTTTATAAGAGCGACTGTTTAACAACTCGAAACGGTACAGAGACCAGAAGCCTAAGCCATATAGAGCAGATAAGTGAAGATGAGGAGAAAAGCGGAGATGGTAATAATGAAAAAAATACTGTTCGTACTTAAAAACGATATCATAAGAATAAATTGAACAGTTGTTTATAATTTTCGTAGTGCAAAAGGCTTGAACATTTTCAGCGAAGTTGAGTAAACGCTTCGAAATGTTCACTGTATGCTGTAATTTTACATTTTGTGTGAGGGGTGAGGTAGTGCCTTGGTTCCCAGACCGAGGCAGGTGGTTGTCTTAGGGGGGCCATCCCCGGGCCTTTGACTTTAAATCTAATCCACAAGGCAGTGGAGCAACATCAAGAGCTGCATTACCATGGTTACCGGTGACGATAACAGGTTCATACACCATTCGTTCACTTCGGAACCTGGAGTCTATGTGTACCCTTGGTTTGGAGTCAGGGTTTTTCAACTCCCCTAGGACCGTGTGAGTCCACCAATACGGTTATAAGCGCCGGACATTAGATTTCGACCCTCTACCTTTGTGGAAATAACCCCAGTACGTGAATCAAGTGAATAGGACTATCCTGGCAGAGGTTATGAAAGTATACCAGGGCACTTGGTAGGCGAAACACCTTACTAAAGCACACAGAAAAGGCAAATATAAATAGCAGCCCAATCTGTCCTTTTCTACGGCTCCAAGACATGGCCGTGGAGAGAAGAAATGAAGCAATTACAGGGTTTTGATTACTTGTGTCTTCGTAACACTACTCGTGTTTGGTGGAGTCACTGTGTGAGTAATCTTGACGTCAGGTGGAGGGTAATATGCAATGAAAGGCAAGTTGATTGATGAGGTTGTGAATCTCAGTCGACTGAGATGGCTTGGATATGTGTTGTGCATGCGAAGCCACCACCCACCTCAATATGTCATGCTAGGCTGAGGAAGTTAGATTAGATTGGAAGAGGATTCAGTGTGTCTAGATGGAGACGTGGCACCAGTGGATGAATTTCGTGACTGTTGATATGCGTTGTATGCATAGATGTGGACTGGCTGTTTGGGGTCCCTAAGGGGGATCGGAATGAGTGGTTGGGGATTCTTGATGACATGGCTGAAAATCGGTCAGGGAGGCGCCAGTGTATTCACTCTTTGACCTCTTCTAGAGTATGAGTATATGCACTAAATTTTATCTTGTAAACAAATGAAGTGCTCATCTCAAATAGAGTGTCTTCTTTACAGTGAAAGACCAGTCCTTCTAAACTCATATACTAGGCTCAGTGAAGTATAATGTTTTCAAAGGAGACCAGTCGCTATTCACATCCGGTCCAAGTATCCCATCGCGTTAAATATCTCTTGCGCACTTATCATTTATTATTCACTCGGTCGCTTCACTTTACTAAACCAACTTATATGATATTCATTTTAATTATTTACCGCAAAAATTAAAACACTACTGTTAACTTGATTTGTGAAAGGCATTCAGTAAAGCTGTACACAGTAGAAATGTATGTCAAAATTGTTTAGTTTGCACAAGTTGAAAACACTTCACATGGTTAACTTTCATTTTATAAAATATTGATCCGTAGTAAATGCTTTTACAAAAGAATACATGTTCCGTCTTTGTAAAGTTACTCACTTGAAGATGTATGATACGTTTGTGTCACATCATTATGGTATGTACTACTGCAAAACACATCAATAAAAATATTGGAATGAAAACGATGTGTTAAAAATATTAGAAACAGTAACTGACTTTTCTGTTAATGTAGTGAAAATATTGAGCTTAGGAAACAATTAATAATAGTAACAAGATAAATGTTGTACAATAAAACAAACTTCATCAAAGTGGAAAATTGAATAACTGCTGTATTCAGCCAATCGGATAAACAGTGAACATGAAAAAGGTTATCTAATAGGTTATAATTTTCTTGCTAGTGGTTGGTGGGACTGACTAATTGATACTCAGTGCACACGAGGTACCTCAGTAGCCTGTAGCCTCATGAGTAACGCTGTGACGTTTGAAACACTGGTTTATGCGTTTGAATGTCAATGAGAACACTACAAGTCAGTGGGACGCATGTATGTCAAGTTGACGAGTCCCAGATAAGATGAAATGCGTGTGCTTGATTCTGCTGGTAGCCATCGCCAAGCAGACAGTATGTGAACATCCACTATGAAGCGATCTGACTGATTTTCAGGATCTGTTATATGGTGATTTCAACTGAATTCATGATATTAACACAATGTTGAGTGATCAGATGAAGTGTTTCGTGTTGTCTTCAGTTGGCTGTCACACGCAGATTAAGTGTTTCGGTGAATTGAAACAGCTTAGTAGTCGTGTAGGAAGTAGCCACTTGTTTTGTGCTTTATCTTATGATTTTTTCATGTTATATAATCTCCACTTTTTGTCCTTTTTCGGTGTTTTATCGCCTGTGTGATGCGCAGGGCTTGCTTAACAATCTGCAGATTCTTTTGCCCTATCGGGTTTTACATCTTACTGATTTTCGAAAGCACAGATTTTATATCATCAGAATATTCCTTATTATTTTTTCGACGATGCAACCCATATAAAAATGTCTAATTATTGATGACACCGCCTGGATTACCAAACCTCGGTAGGTGACACAACCCTCGAAAGTTTGTGCTGTTGTCTTCGAGAAACTACTTGAGTAGTATGGTTAATCGAGAATGTAATACTTATCAAAGCGTTGCTAAATGTGCACTTCTTGAGTACAAACAGACAAATGAGATGTTTTTGTCTTAGAGAGTAATGTAAATCATGGAAATGAAGTTTACTATCCTGTGTGGGTTTTTATTCCTAAAAATGTGACTATTTTTTCTAAAAATTTTAATATTTAAGATTTTCATGGGTTAATAAACTAACCCATCAAGCGAAATTGACGCATATTTTGTTACCATCTTAAAATGAAATGATTGTTCGATCCTCAATTTCAATTTAATATGTGTAAGCTTTTGGCAATAACTTATCCTATAAGTGGAATCCACCCGGTATTCTCATGAACTACCTCGATGAAAACCAACAGAGAGTAATAACCGAAGTTATCTTTCCCAACCTCAGAAAGGTCATTGTTGTTCTCTTCATATTGAGTGATGATTGAAGTGGAAAAGAAAGCCTGGATCGCGATAGGACTCTACCCACCGTCCTGCGGCTTACCGACCCGTTGCTCTATCATCCAAACACAGAACACAAATTTTGGTCAGGTCTTGACTCTGATTCAATCACTGAACGTTTCTACCCATCTGCTGTGCGAATTCATGATGCGTAACCATCTGTTTATCATATTCACACTGGCTCGCTACCTTAGTTCCTTCGTCTTGATCCAAACTGAGCATTGTATTGATTACTAATCA